GTGAGGCTTGAGAAGCTGTATGCTGGTCCACAGACCCCATTTCCAGAACCATTGGCGTGTAGATAGGGTCATTCTGCTCCTACCTCATCCAGCAGGCACTACATTAAAACATCTGAGAGTGTCTTTGTTTGACAGCTGTCTCCAGCACCCTGCCCCACTTCCAAAGACCCGAAGCACTGAAAATTCTCCTGTGTGATGTGGAAAATCATTTATTCTATTGAGTGTCCAGGGGGGTTGAAAGATTTGGCAGCTTTGTCCCAGATTGTGTCCATATTATTTTGGGGGGGCAGGTCAAAGTATAGACTATACTTTTTAATGTGTATGGAAGGAAAACTGTTGGCCAGTTCCAGAAAATGGGGCTTCACAATATTTCTGGAATTTCCGCCTGTCTTCCTGGGCCTTTCTCTGGAGTTCTCTTCCACTTCATTGCAGACAGACTCAGTTTGGCCTTCAGGGAATGAAATGGCTCCCTTAGGTTGTTTGTAATCAGGATTCATGGAATCCAAGTTTCAGAAGCCTTGTGAGTTTGAATTTACCTAACTGTAGTTGTTGTGGAGGCACCCCTTGGGGCACTGAGCTATTTTTAACGTGGTGCACCGAATCTCTTACTTACTAGGCCTCTGTTGTGCCCCTACTGTGCGCCAGGCATCACTCAACACCCCAAAATCCAGAGGTAAGAAGGTGCCCTGTTCCATGAGGAGCGTCAGGCAGGCAGAGAACTGACCCCAAGACAATTCGGTCCTCAAAAAGGGATGTTCAGGTTGCTCTGTGGCCCAGGGCAGGGGTGTGGCAGGATTGACTGATTAATGTTGTATTGAAGAGGGGAAAGAAAAACAGAAGGTCAGGATTTCTATTCACAGTGGACTGTGACATTTTGATCCAGAAGACGGAATCGGTCATTGCCCTTGCCTCCTCTGTCCGGATCAGTAATTTGAAGGGTGTGGTCTGAGTGCAGAAGAAGACCGTTCGTTTTAAAATACCATTCTTTCCCACCTTTACAATTTATTGGTTCGAATTAAGTTTTAATGCTCCACTAACCTGGGAAGGTCCCTGGGGACTGTATCTGATCTCACTCATCACTGCCTTAGGGTTATCTCATCCCCTCTGAGAGACAGTGAGAGAGCAATCCCGCACCTCAACACAGAAAAAGACCGAGTCCAGCAGGAGCTTGGTAGCCTCTCTCTCTGCAAGGCTTATGAGGAGAAGCATCCAGAAGCCTGGACGGGTCAGGTCAGGGCTGCAGGAAAAAGGCATGACCTTCACTGAATATGCTTGCCTCTGTGAGCACGGAACGGCATTCTAGGCCAGGAGTTCTTAGAATCTGAAATGGCATAACATCTGTAAAATCTCAGGGACCAATGCACTTGGCTACCTATCCACTTGCCAAGTAAAAGTATTTAAAACCAACAAAAACCCCAATATACTATTTTTATCAACATTATTTCATCCAAAAGACGGTATTTTTACCGTCAAAAAATTAGGAAGGATCCAATATCACAATAAAAGACAGCTCTTTAACGTTTATTTATTTTTGGGACAGAGAGAGACAGAGCATGAACGGGGGAGGGGCAGAGAGAGAGGGAGACACAGAATCGGAAACAGGCTCCAGGCTCTGAGCCATCAGCCCAGAGCCCGATGCGGGGCTCGAACTCACGGACCGCGAGATCGTGACCTGACTGAAGTCGGACGCTTAACCGACTGCGCCACCCAGGCGCCCCAAAAGACAGCTCTTTAAACGGAATATAATTTGTGAAAAATTCCAGACTTGTCATTGCCTTATTTTTTGCTACCTTCAGGCTGTCACAGTCCACGCATGGGCACTTGGAAACCACATTTCTAGGTACTGAGGATGTCTTGGGATCTGTCTTGAGGTGTGTCCCTGCAAGGACACCTGATCTCTGAGTTATAAGAGGGGGCAGGGAGGGCACTGCAGAGCAGTGAGGAAAGCGCCCTCCTACATAAACCTTTGGGCCCAGGCAAATGCCACCAGCTCTAGAGAGACATCCCTTGTGATCTCAGGTCAAAAATCAACCGGTAGTTTCTCTCTGTCCCCAGCGAACATTGCTTGTAACCCCGTGTGGCAACTGGCATTAATCCTGCTTCGTATTCTGGTCGGTTTGTACACCTGTTCTCCTCAGCTCTGGGCATTGTCCCCTGGCCTTATATGTAGAAGGTTCTTAGGCATAGTCAGTCAATCAGATTGACTTCATCATCTTCTTTTTTCATTTTTTCCTTTCTAGCTGTCCTTTCCTTCTTGCCCCCTTATTACCTTCCTGCCTTCTTTCCCTTTTTTTTTTTTTTTTTTAAATTTTTTTTTTTTCAACGTTTATTTATTTTTGGGACAGAGAGAGACAGAGCATGAACGGGGGAGGGGCAGAGAGAGAGGGAGACACAGAATCGGAAACAGGCTCCAGGCTCTGAACCATCAGCCCAGAGCCCGACGCGGGGCTCGAACTCACGGACCGCGAGATCGTGACCTGGCTGAAGTCGGACGCTTAACCGACTGCGCCACCCAGGCGCCCCACTTCTTTCCCTTTTATATCCATTGTTATCTCCTCCAGCTCCTTCCTTTTAGTACACAGTTTTCCCCGTGGGCAGGGTCCTCTGGAATTCCGTACCCTGCCACTTCCCATGCATTCTGCAACTTCAGATATGCGGAATAAAGATAAATGAAGTGTGACATTTGCCTTTTACATCAAAATACAAGAGAAGAAAACAAAAATGGAAGAGAAGATTGCTGTCAGACCACACATTTCCCATCCCCATTGGAAAACCGTGGCCTTTTTTCCTGCCAACAATGACCTTGGGGATCCAGTTAAATCCTGCCTGACTTAACATTCAGTACTTCCGTTTTTCTCACAGGGTGGGGGGGGGGGGGGGGGGATGAGAAAGCCTAGGCTTTACCTTCCCTAAATCTGTTCCTGTCTCTGTTCTTCCTTTTTTGAATCCTCCGTATGCACCAATTATTTCCTGTTTCTTCCTCTCTTAGAACATTCCACCAGGTACCATCCTCATCCCCGGATCCCCAGACCCCCATCTTTTGAGCCTCAAGTCTCTCTGACTGCAGACTCCTTTTCCCTGGGCCACAGGGTCCTCGCTTTGAGAAGTTGTGTGAAGAGAGGATGGAAGCATTTGTGTCAGCTGGGAGTTTTTCCATGTATTTCTGTGGGGATGCGGAAGGTCTCAGAATCACCCAGTCTGTAAGCCTGGCGCACTCCGAAATGAGCTCTATTTCTGGGCCTGTCAGATGAAATGCTGTTGCTCCCGGTTATTTTTGGCTCTTTGCCCTTCTGAATAGGTGCATATTCAGCTCAATTCTACCCCCCGACCCTGAGCTGGGAAGAAGCAGGCAGCTTCCCTCAGCCAAGCCTCCTCTCGAGTCAGGAACATTTGCCCCCTTAAGCAGCAGCTATCTCAAGAGTTCTGGACTGCGCAGCGGCTGTTTATGCCATGGCCAGGGGGGCAGCAGGGGAGTCCGCTCCCTGGCCCCCTCAGATGACTGATGGAGACCCTTGAGAGCCGAACAGCAGGTGCAGCCAGGTATCCAAAGCCTCCTCGTTCATACATACAAAGGTCTGCAACCTGCCCCACTGGGCCTGGCTGCAAAAACGTCTCCTCCCATCCTCAGGGCACCTGGGATGGCCAGGGGACATTTTCGGCTCAGTGAGCACAGAGATAGCTGTATACTGAGGGTCTGAGGAAGGAAGAACGCTGGGATGCAGAAGGTCAAGGGCATGTAGTTAGAAAAATATCTTCGGGTGAGCATGTTGAGAAGAACGTGTGTGTGAAAAGGGTGGAGGGAGGTTGGGTGTGAGTGTGCAGATCCACGTGGGACGGAGAGCGAGGAAGGACAGCGACTGTGCACCTAGGGAGTGTCAGTGTAAATAACTGAAGAGAGAGAGTGAGTACACCTGAGACCTTGGGGAAAGCGGATTGTATCTACAAGTCCTGACAATATTTTATAACTGCATCCTGCAGCTGAAATCGCGATCCTTAGACAGGCATTAACATCGACTTAGGGCTTTTAGTCTATCCGATAATAATATCAAGTGAAATGCAATGTCAAGATGAGCTGTACTTGCATGGACACTTAGTAAGGTCCATATAAAATCAAGAAAAGCATAGAGAAGAGGAAGCTAGCCCAGGGTTCTCTTAACAGCTACTTATCTCTGCAGCCTTTGAGTGAGAGACTTCTTTTGAAAGTTCTTACCACGTATCACTTTGACGCACTAATGCACTCAGTCCTCATGACAGCAGCAGCAGCAGCAGCCTCGTTTTACAGACGAAGGAACTGAGTCATTTGAAAGATCCCAGGTCCAGGGTCATCACCAGGTGGCAGAGCTGGTTTGGTCCGAGCAGCCGTGCTCAAGGACCGGAGCTTCCACGACTCCACGAAACTTCTGTAGTGACAGCGGGTGGTGGAGGGGCAAGCAGGTGTCGTGAGGTATGTCCAGGGCTCGCACCTGGGTTTGAAACGCAGGTGTGTGTCCGGGCTTCATGGTGCCTGGGGACAGACACTGCCATGTCGGACACATCTGTCTGGGGCCATCCCGCCACTCCCCAGCTATGCTGCCTTTGCCGGGTCACGAATCCTTTTTTGAACCTCAGTCGCCAGCCTCTGCAAAACTGGGGATAAAGTCACCGATCTGGCCATTCATGTGGTGTTGTGGGGGCCAGTGAGGTAGCATGGGTGAGGGTGCGTGGCAAATCGTCAAGCCCTAGACAAGACTAAAGCACTTCTTGTGTATTTTTCAGACTCACCTACTTCCAAAAAAGGCTCACAAAGAAAGGTCCATCCCTTGTAAGTTTATGAAAAACAGAAAATAAATAAATAACCTGTCAAGGGGTTAAGGATGACCCCACCCATGAAGCACATCTCCATTATAACCCTGGAGCGGGGGAGGGTATTCCCCCAGTATTTATCCCCCGGGGGGTGGGGGGGAAGCCAGCTGCCCTGTGTCAACTCTCACCCCCAGCAAGCCAGCCATGTGACGGGAGAGAGATGCTCAGACATTCCGACCCCCCGTGTGGGCCAGACCTGCGAATGAGCAAATCATCCTGAAGGTTTATCCGTCGAGCCTTTACATGACTCGAACCCAGCCCCGCCCCGTTCGGCTGAAACTGCTTCAGAATACCTAAGCCAGAACTGCCCGGCTGAGTCCTAGCAACTCACTGACCCATGAAAGGTAAAAATAAACTGTTCCGAGCCACTAAGTTTAGGGGTAGTTTTTTGACAACAGTAGGTAACTGAAACAGTGTCCTAGGCTAATATTATATTTTAACTCAACAGTGTAGTTCATTTTGAGCTCCCTGGCATTCGAAGCAACAAGGGGAGCAGGATGGATTATATGCACTTCTTATTATCTTGAGTATTAGGATTTACCTGAAGGGCTATTTCATCTGACTCGTCTCCTTGTGGTCCAATCAGAATGAAAATTAAACTATCTTCTTACATTAGAATCTCTCCGGTCTTGACCAAAATTACGGTTGTGCAAATTCTGTCATCTGCCCTGCTAGAGCAAACCAAAGAATTACAGTTGTCACTGACAACAAAATGTTCCTTGCATCTGGCCCAAATCTTTCAGACGGTAGCTCAAGCCTATTTTCTCCTGTTTGGTGCTCAGTGCCTCTTCTGCCTCCTGCCTCATCCCCACCCCAAATTAAGTCACAAATGGGCTCAGTGTCTCTGGGGTCCTAAGCAGCCAAAATTAATGATTAAAATAGAAATGCTGAAAATAGTTGAAACTGAAGCAGATTGGATGATTTATTCAAACCTTCAGGAAAAATTACTATTCAGCCCAGAATTGGAAATTGGATTTGTGGTTCCTAAGAATGCAACACTTCCCTAGCGCTAGCCCCCGAAAGGGAAAGGAAACAAACATGTAACATACCTCTGTGACCGTCTTTGTGTCCTTTAGACCCAGGCTCTGAGAGATCAGGAACCGCATCTGTGTTCTGGGTAGTGCAATGTTTAATGCCTTATGGTGCTTATTAAAGCTTGTCTTCATTAAGTGACCTTCCAAGTCTACGATAATGAAACACATAAAGCTAAGTGTGAATCAGGGAGTTCTGTTCTCTCCAGTGTGACCTTGGTGAACAGGCGTTACCTGCCTGTGGGTCCCATCCTGGGAAGGCTGGTTAGCACGGGGGGTATTTGAGGTCACCTCACTTACGTAGAACCTGAATGAGGCCCAGCCAACCCTGTGAAGGTAGTGAATCTTGTCCTTGTGTCCTTGACCTTGTTTTCTGTAGTCTTCCCCCACATTTGTCTTCACACCCCTAAGCAGGACTTCCGAGTCCTCGTAGCAAACCTCTGTGTGGACAGCCTGAAGGGTAGCAGAGAGGAGCACTCTCAAATCCCAGCTGAGTTCCTAATACCACATTTTCCTAGATACTTTCAAATCACCAAGACATTTCACATCCATATTTCAGGTCACTGTCTCAACAATTCCTGTGGAATCCTGGGGGATGACCCTGTTATGGGTTGAATTGTGTTCTCTAAAAGGATATGCTGGGAGTCCTAACCCCTGGTACCTGCGCATATGACCTTATTTGCAAATAGGGCCTTCGCAGATGTAATCAAGTGAAGTTGAGATCGTTGGGTGGGCCCTCATCCAATATGACCAGTGACCTTACAAGAAGATGGAAATTTGCTCATAGACATGCACCGAGGGGTGACAATGTGAAGACACAGAAGGAAGAAGGCCATACGAAGACAGAAGCAGAGATTGGAGGCACGAGGCCACAAGCCAAGGAACGCCCGGGGCTACCAGAAGTGGGAAGAGACAAGGAAGCATCCTTGTCTAGCGGCTTCAGAGGGAGCGTGACTTTGCCTGTGCCTTGATTTTGGACTTCTACCTTCTAGAACTGTGAAACAACAAACTTCTATTGCTTCGAGCCACCCAGTTTGGGGCACTTTGTTCGAGCAGCCTTCGAAAACTAATATGTAAGTGTTGTCATTTTCTTATATTTTTTAATGCAATGTTATTGGATTACCTTTTTAATCCAATGTTATTGGATACCTATTGTGTACCAGACTCTGTGCTGAGCTCTAGAACTCAGACCCAAAGCTACAGGTTGATACGAAACAAATCAAAGACCTGAGCCCTCTGATGAGTTTCTATGCTCATTCTGTCGAGTCTCAGGCTCTCCTCCAGCATCCTTATGCCCAGACACCCCCATCCCCACGCCCATCCGTCACCACTGTCTGGTCTGTGCCCGTTCCCACAACTGGCTGAGACCTAGGCAGTGCTGGGCCTAGAAGCAGCTTGGGAGATCTGATCCAGCCCCGTGGCTTTCCAGGTGTGCCACCTGAGGTTGAGAGGGGTCACCCTACCAGTCAAAAGGCAGCATTGAGCTCCAACACGTCTTCTCACTCTCTGACTCTGATTAATTCATGTTATGAATAAATTCAACAAACAACAAATGTTTGTCGAACGAACACTAAATTATTAATCCCTGATAACGAGAATATGTTCTACCTCCCAGAGGTATTTGAATGTGCAACAATGCCTTAACCCAGAGGAGTGCGTTTCGGATCGCGGAGGGTGGGACTGAAGGTTGGGGCGGGCAAAGCAGGACAGGGGGACCCGTGGGCAAGGGTAGGGTCTTTCACTGACCTCGTGTCTCATATCCTTAAAGCAACTTCGGTGTCTGCTCAGGACAGAATGGCGACCACGGAGAATTCTGGACGGGGCGGAGGAAGAGATTGCTCCCTTCTGTACTTTGAGCGGCAGCAAAGGGCTATGACCATTGCCCTCCTGGATGCAGAAGGAGGCACTGGCCTCATTATATGCATACACCATGACTGCTGTCTTAAACTCCAATACTGCTGAACAATTCAGAAATAGATCCATTATAGGTCTGCTTTAGCCCCAGGGCTTTAACACGGGTCACTAGAAAATCCAAGATTGCACAGTAATTCAAACTCTTAAGAGGGAAAGGAAAAAAAAAATTCTCTTCAGCACTCCCCCCCGCCCAGAGTCCCTCCCTCCAGCATCACAGGGAGCCCCTCTTCATTTCCGTAGTGCTTTAGAATAAATAGCTCTTATGTTGAACTTGAAATCTAAATTTTTCGCCAGCTATTAATTGATAAGAGAAGCTCGTTTTCCCTCTTATGCTCTGTAGTAAGATTACGGTGTAAATAAACTGGGTCAGGTTTAGCAGGATGGAGGTGAACTGTTCTCTAATTCCCCTTAATCTCTGGTAAAGGAATAACTAGGATTTGAACGTCAACATTCAATAAGCAATTATGGCACTCCTTCAAGCACGATCCAAATTAGTCTGCTGTTCCCTCAAATAGAATCCAAAGGACCTCCAAACCATGCTCTTCGATTGCAACCTCCTTGTTTTGTTCTAACCGGTGAGAGGAGTCAGGATTGCAGGAGGGATTTGATTTGATTTATATTAATTTTTAGAGTATCAGGGATCTCTTGTTTTACTTGAAACAGATCAGGGAACGGGGTCAGTAAACAAGGGTTTTCTCGACTACTGATCACTCAGCATTTCATGAGGCTGGCTTCTAGCTTTCACAGTGCATTAGAATCATTATCTAATTATTAATCTCACCCTAGAGTTCTGAGGAGCTTATGACACCCGTTGAAGTTAATGAAGGCTTTTACCTATGGATCTGGCACTAAATCGCTGTGATTGACCGAGTGCCCACAATATGGTAGGCACTGATAGAATTGACAGAGGGGAAAAAGAATTAAACGGAAGGAAATTAAGAAGAGGAAGAAGGAGAAGGCGTCAGAGAGGAGGAGGGGCGAGAAACCAAAAGGAGATTGTAACTTCAAAACACCTCGTTAGGAAAATGGGGCAGTTAAGGAAGAACTCACCAAGTAATCTGCTTAAACTTTAATTAATTATTCATTTATATATATTTATGTGGCACACTTTCTCTAGGGAAACCAATGTGCTTTGCAAACATATTAAATAATTAACTCCCTCAAATCTGAGTGGAAAGGGAGCAAAATTACTCCAGAAAAGGACCGGCGGGTTGATGAGTGATGGATGCGTCTCGCTTTGAAGAGGCGATCCTGTGTGATACCCACCAGAGACTGCATAACAAAAGACCTCTTCTGGGGGGTAACTATGGGTACTATGGTGATCCCTCCCCCCACCTTCCAGAAGAAGCAGCTTTTGCTTATACAGATAATGATGCTACGGAGAGAGACAAACAGGAAGACGCATACATTGATATGATACAGAAATCCAGTATATTTTGAGGAAGGGTACTATTAGAAGAAAGTCAAATGGAGTGCATTTTTTAATAAAATACTGCCTTTGAGACAAAAGTTAAAGTTAGGACGTATTTTGAACCAAGAACATTGAACATGGCATTAAGTCAAATGAAATTGCAAAGGCCAAATGATGAGCAGCAGCATTTAGTAAGTTGTGTTTAAACAGATGTTGAATTCCTGAAATTACATCCTCAATGCATCGTTGACAGGACACTATTTAAAAAAAAAAAAAATACCTTTAGCACAAGTGGTTTCAACATTTCTCTGGAAAGTAGAAATGTATCTGCCAGAACAGTGGAGGTCAAAAACAAACAAAAAACTTAGGAAATAAAAAAAACACAAACTAAAAAACAAGAAGTGAAAGCGGCAGCTGTTCGGAGGCAGTGAGCATGGCCGAGGGGTGAGCGGGGCAACCATACAGGCACCAGAAGATTCGTGCCTTCTTGGGTCCAGCACTGTTGGGCAGTTGCAGGAACAACCTTATGTTCACTGCATCTCAAAACTAGTAAATTGGAATGCACCCACGCAGGAGGACAGACGTGGTCCTTGGAGAGGTCATGGTCATTAAAACTGCAACATGCATTTGTTCGTGTGCATATGGCCGGAGGGCTCGGCACCTGGCAGCTGAGGCTGAGACTTGGCCAAGTGACCCGTGGGAAGTTTCAGCGTGGGAAAGAGACCAGTGATTAACAAGACCGGCCTCCTTACCTTTTTAAAATGAAAGATCCGCCTTACCCCAAGACCACTAGCAAGAAATTAAAATAAAAAAGAGGAAGGGTGGTGAGTCCAAGGGAAGAAACTTTTTTTTTTTTTTCATTTTATTTTTAAAATGTATTTATTTAACTTCAAGTTAGTTAACATACAGTGTAGTATTGGTTTCAGGAGTAGAACCCAGTGGCTCATCACTTACATACAACACCCAGTGCTCATTCCAACAGGGCCCTCCTCTATGCCCTTTTCCCTCCTGTGACCACCCCCCGCCCTCCTCCATCAACCCTCAGTTTGTCCTCTGTACTTAAGAGTCTCTTATGGTTTGCCTGCCTCTCTGTTTTTATCTTATGTTCCCTTCCTTATAAGGGAAGAAACTTTTTTAAAAGCAAACAAGACCCGGGGCGCCTGGGTGGCGCAGTCGGTTAAGCGTCCAACTTCAGCCAGGTCACGATCTCGCGGTCCGTGAGTTCGAGCCCCGCGTCGGGCTCTGGGCTAATGGCTCAGAGCCTGGAGCCTGTTTCTGATTCTGTGTCTCCCTCTCTCTCTGCCCCTCGCCCGTTCATGCTCTGTCTCTCTCTGTCTCAGAAATAAATAAACGTTGAAAAAAAAAATTAAAAAAAAAAA